TGCGCCTTTAAGAGGGGACCATGCCCGGCGCGCGCGGCCGGCGACTCCGGCGCGAGGCGACAGCGGCTCCTGAGGCTCGCGTCCCCCGGCTGGCTCGGCTCGGCTCGCGCTGCGCCCGCCCTCTCGGTGCCCTGCGCCGCCTCTGCAGCTGCACATCCTCCGGCTTAGCGCGCCATTGCAAAGGAGCCCCTCACGTCACGCACCGCGCGTTAAGAAGCGGCCCGCCGGCAGCGTGCCGTGGCCCCTCTCGGGATCCGTCCGCGCCTCGTGATTGGCGCAAAAGTGAATGGGGGGCAGTTCACGTGGCCAAAGTTTAACCAAAAAAAAAAAAAAAAAAAGAAGAAGAAGAAGAAGAAAGAAAGAAAAGCACCCGCCCCGCAGTCCGCGGCCAGGCTGAAGGGGTGTTGGGTTAGCATCGACGGGAGCGGGGCGGGCGGGACTCCAGCCCCCACTGCCGGGTACCCGCGGCCACGCCCCCGTCGCCAGCGCTCCGAGCCGGCGGCTCCGCACCGCACGTGGACTGAGTTGACCGGCTCCCCAGATGCCCCTAGAACTGCCACGCCCTTCCCTCCCCAGGCCGACCTCCCGGCTTGGTGGCCAGGACAGCCGCGTCCACACTGCAGCTTTGTACGCTGCGGACGGAGGTGGAGCCACACAGCCACAGTTCACCTCCGAGAGCTTGGGCATTTGTGGGCTGGGAGCGACGCGTGAATTTCGCTAAGTAGCTACGGCTGGCCTCGAACTCAAGAGAATCTGAGGTCTCCGTCTCTGCCTCTCGAGCCCCGCATATTAGTTTTTAATGGGTATTGAAGAGATGGATGAGTGAATTACCACTAGATGATAAATACCTTTATTTAGTCCCAGTGTGCAGGGAGCTGGTTAGTACCCCTCACCTAAGTCCGACAGTTTTTTCAAGAGTAGGTTTAAAAAACGGGTATGGATTGTGTACATGGTGTGGGGGAGGAGGGCACGCGGTTCCTCGGGAGCCATACACCTAGTTTTTTGAAACAGGATCGATCTCTCACTATCTTGGAGGTCTCCAAGTAGGCTAGGCTCACTGAATGGATTTTTTAAGTTGGAACCAGATTCCCCTATATTTGCTCGGTCTTAACTTATACATTTTGTTACAAATGAAAGCCCTTCAACTAGGGGGCCTACATGACAAATGTTTGTAAATACTAATTTTATTTCTTAGTCACCAACGTGTTAGGATTATAACAGCAAAAAGTAGCCACTTGGACCTGAGAGGTTCTTTAAGAAAGTCTAATAGAGCCCAGGTGCTAGCTGAAGCTGAAGATTACCTTGAACTCCAGATTCTCTTGTTTATGGAGCTGGAATGGCCTGGGCCTATGTGGTACCATCCCTGTTGGGATCAACCACTGGATATCTGATATTCTAGGCCAGTACTCTACCGTCTGAACTACAGTCCCGGAACCTGAGGAGTTCTCATTTAATCAAACAAGAAGACAGAAAACAAGAGTGCTTGGGGTGGTGGTGGTGGGGCTATTCTTGTATCTCTTTTTCATGATTAATAAACCAAACAACTAAAATATTCCAGTTTAAGCCACAAAGCTGTGTAAGGCACAGTTCCTCTCTGCCACTGAATGGTGGTTACTCTTGTTTATTCTTTGGATAGTACCACTTTCTATGACACTTGTGATTTATTTTGAGAATAGTTCATCACCTCCCTCCCCTGACTCCTTCTGTAAGAGATGGTCCACATCTAAGGATAAAATATTCATTGTGCAGTGAAGAACAGATTCCAGCAGTGGTCTCTGGGAAATACAGAATACCTAGCCATGAATTACAGGCTGGGAAACCATAGAGAAAGGTTCCAGTAAGACTATAACCACAAACACCAAGACATCACCAGAGCCCCCAAATTCAGCAGCTGCCCCATAATTCACACTGATTTACATAAAGCACAGATCTGGCAAGACACAGATGCTCGACTTTGTGACATAGTCAATGCCTTCAGTATCTTCAAGCCTGCTTTGGACGTGTCTATATTTTCTAAACTTGAGTCCAATGAAAAGACAGGAGTGTGTGTGTGTCGGGAATATGCTAAGAATGTTGAACATCTTGTTCCTAGTCCCCGGCTTCCTAGAAGTCCCTCAGTTACCAAGTCAACAACGGATGAATAGAGAAGCCAGGAGCTGGAGTGGCTCCTCGGAGAGTTAAAATTATTACATTAATTTAGTGCGTCTCTGCGAGTATTCGTGCTCATGCTATGATACACATGTGGTCCTCAGAGGACAACGTTCAGGAGATGGTTCTCTTTTTCCACGATGTGGAGCCTGACAACTGAACTTAAGTCATCAGGATTGGTGGCAAGTACCTTTACCTGCTAAGCCATCTCACTATCCCCTTGTAGCTGTTTGATAGCATGCATACACCGCCTGAACTGGATGCATGTCCAGCCTGGAATAAGATGTGAGTTCTACACTGAGTCCTACTTGGCCAAGCCCAGAGTCTTAGGATCTGACAGGCCCTTGTTTCTATGTGGGTGTTCGTGCTGCAGCATCTGAAGGGCTCTGTGGTAGCAGCAGTTCTAGGCTGGTGTTTCAAAATGTATTCAGAAGAGGCAGATCACCTACTTTTCTGCTTGCATGAGTGCAATTCTTTATGACATAATTAAGACTGCTCTCTGCCTTCGTTCCATGTTCTCACAGATTGCAGCTTTGTTCACTCACACAGCACCTTTTTTTCTGCTGCAAATACATTTGATTGCCTCTTTCTAACAGGTATAACATTTTGTATGATTTGCCGAAATTTCTTGGAAACCTGTGGTAAATACCTCAATTGTTTGTTGGCAGCATGCCTCAAATAACTGACAGAGTTCCCTGTGCAAGCTTCTTTAAAGACACAGCATCTGGACTCAAGCCTCAAACAGAGGTCCCTGGAAAAAGCAGTCATCTTTTTTAAAAAAAAAAACTTTTCTTTTAAAGTTCAGAAACACTTCTTTTGTTCTTTCAGCAGGTTCTGTCTGCTGCCTGCAAAGAGCAACTGTAATGGCCGTTCTAATATCACCACTTAATCTCAGTTAGTCCAGCGGTACTTTCTTCATTGCTAACTCGTCAAGATCTTCATTACATTAGCCATTTTTCTAATCAGGAGTGACAGTACACACTTGCACTTCTAGCTGAGGCAGGAGGACTGTCAGTTCAAGGCCTGGGAAAGTTGGTGAGATCCTGTTTCAAACTTAAATAAAAAAGGAAAGGGAAGGGAAGGGAATGGAAGGGAATGGAAGGGAAGGGATGGAAAGGAAAGAAAGGGAAAGGGTTTCAGGCATAGCTGAGTGTTTGCCTATTACACACATGGCCTTGGGTTCAATTCTCAATATTCCTCCATTTTTTTTCTCAATATTTCCTTCTATTTGAAGCATTTCCTGTCTGAGGCAGGAAATGACAATCAATTGTTGATTATGTTACAGCTGCCTGAGAGTAGCAGATTCAACATTTGTTGTCTAGAATGTCCTTAGTGCTGCATTAGCCAGGGTTCTCTAGAGGAAGAGAATGAATAGACTCTATATATGTTAGAAGGGGGGTTTTATTAGAGTTGCTTACGGGCTATAGTCCAGCTAGTTCAACAATGGCTGTCTCCCAGTGGAAGGTCCAGAAATCTGGTAGTTGTTCCATCCATGAAGCTAGGTGTCTCGGCTACTCTATGGTCGCTGCTAGAGTCTCAAAGAAGTAGGCTCTAATATCAGGAAAGAAATGCCTTGGCAGCAGGGTAGGTGAACTTGACGTCAAGAGTGAGGGCCAGCAGCAAAACTTTATTTATGTGGATTGCTACCAGAAGGTGTGGTTCAGATTTAGCATGGGTCTTCCCACCTCAAACTATCCAATCAAGAAAAATCTCTCTCAGGTATTCTCCAATTCTTGGTTTCCATTGGTTCCAGACTTAGTCAAGTTGACAACCAAGATTAGTCATCACAGGCGCCTCATGCATCCTTGGTCTACTTGTAAGTTCTATATACAGTTTTTACGAGACATGGTGAGTGCTTCTCACACAAGCATTCGTGCACATGCACACATGTATCTCAGAGACGCAGCACAGCGCTGGCAGCCCGCCAGATGCAATAGACTAGCCAAAGGAGACAGAATAACCAGTAAATGGTGATGCACAGACACTCTGGAGATAGTCTAAATGTTTTTAGGGGATGCCTTCACAACAAGGTTTGCTCTACTCAAAGATTTAATCCTGCTTTAGCAAAGACCTATAACTAAACATAGGTTAAATGCTATCTCTAAAGCAAGGCCAGAGTTTCTACAATTGAACAGTCTGAACAATGGTCCCACCCAAAGGAGGACACCCTTCCCTTCTGCATCGCACCCCCAGTGCTTGTCTGCTAGTGAATCATGCCAGCACTTGGTGAGCTGACCCACAGCATGGTCACCAGAAGTTTCAGATTCCGGCGGTTCATGGAGCCACTCCGGAAGTGTAGCTCAAACTCCCTTTGTTTTAGTGGTGGTCTAACGAGCTGCAGAAGAAGGCTTAAGCTACTGATTGAGGCAGAAGACATTTGGATCTACAGATATCTGTAAGTATAATTTTGAAGATAAGAAA